GTGGATTTGGAGTCCTTTGGTAACCTATTATGCAATATCTATCTTCATCTATCTATAAATCATGTCTATCATCTATCTATATCTATCTATCAATCTATCTATCATCTATCATCTATCTATCATCATCTATCTGTCTAGTGTTTTCTATCCCCTTCCCTGCCATGCTCACTGTTGATAAAATGTAAACCTTTTCGCATGCATTCAAGGCCTTCAGAATCAATACCAGCATTCCCTTCAACCTTACCTCCTGCTGTTCACTACTGCATAGCTTATACTCTCAAAACCATCTGATCAGTATGTGGGAATTGGGCAATACTTTCTACTACCTCAGCATTGGCCATAGTTACGGTTGTTTCTCTCCGATCGTTGATTACTTTGGGGTCTATACCCTTTCCTGTTTGGGATCTTGGAGCAGAGGCTACCTGAAAGAATACAGTGATTGAAAACAGAGGGGCAAAAAGATGTGTTTGGCTGAGTCACACCACCAGCTCTCATGGTCTTGAACTTAGCATTCCTCCCCTGTCACTTCTTTTCATCACTAGATGCAGCCCTGTGAAGGTGAGGATTATGTGGAGCATAATCTACAGCAGCTAGAGACGTCTTACCTTCACGTAGTCATATTCACAGAGGTAAGAGGATTCCAGGTTGAAGTGCATGAAGTAAAGCTTGATCCGAAACCCCTCTGGGACAGTGATATTCCAAGTCACCTCTGAGTCACTTGGATAGGAATCCGGATAGCCAGGTGACTGGATCTGGCCAAACATGTCATTAAGCTCCACAGTGTGGGTTGACACCCTCAACAGGGCAAGGCACAGAGCATGGCAGAGAAGGAACCACCTGAAAGACACGAATGAGGCTCTGCTTACATCCATGGTCGCAGGTCCCCAGCCCTGAGCTAAATGTCCTGCTCCAACTACTTTTCTCCTCTGGGCCTTGCTTGCCCAATCTGCGCGTGGCAGAAAGTATCTAGAATGATTTCTAAGATTTCCTTCAGTTTTGCTCTTTTGAAAATTTGATAAGAGTACTGAACTTTTCTAGAAAGTGCCACATTGGGGACTCTACCGCTTATTACTCTTGAAAACATAATTTTCATAATTAGGTTATAGTTGGTATTATTTCTTCAAGTTACACTTCGCTTTTTATTAGTTTCTAAAACAGAAGTAATAATCACCATAATATTACAATGACCTGAACTCCTTGGTGAAATCTGCAGACAACCAACATATTTAATATGTTGAAGTTTTTGCTACAAAGTCAGTCAAGATATGCAAAATCTTGAATAAAGATAGAATGAACAAAATGCGACTTTGTCCTGTTGGTGAGTGTTCTGATGTAAGAAGCAAAATCTTATGATTCATTTCTGCAAGGACCAGAAGTAATTGACTGCTGAAAGAATTTTAAAAGGGAGCATGGGAAACACACCATCGAGTGTGGATGATGCAATAATCACACACATCAATAGATAACTTCCCTGGTAAAGCCCAGGGCCCTTGAACTCAAATATCTCGAACGTGGCTCTTCAGCTTCTTTCCTAATGGGTTCCTGTAATCATTCCTGATTTTGTTGTTGTTCATGTGTGTGCATGCATACCTGTGTGCATGAGTGTAGAGGCCGGAGGTCAGCCCCAGGTGGTGTTCCTCAGGGGCTGTCCACTTTGGTTTTTGAGATAGGGTCTCTCAGTGGGACCTGGGGCTCACGGATTGGTCTATACCGGCTGGTCAATGAGCCTCAGGTATCTTCCCGTCTCCACCTCCCAGTACTGGGATTATAAGCATATGTTACCATATCTACTTTCTATGTGGGTTCTGGAGATCAAACTTGGATCCTCATGCTTACACAGCAAGCAACTGCCGTACCTCTCCAGCCCCATTTCTGATGTTTCTTCATTGTTACGACTAACTGCCAGTTCTGAGTCCGACATGTTACATTTCCTCTTCCCTTTGTCACCATGTGTAACAGTCACCAAGTTGTGACGATTCTGCTTCTCCTTTTCTTTGATGGCTTCATTTAAGCCTCTTATCGATACTGCTGTTATTGTGATGTAGCTGATCTTCTGGCCCCCTCCCCTCTCCATTACTCCATTCAACAGCCTTCTACCAGAGTTGGTTTTCTAAAACATGGCCATGCTGCTTCACTGGGCCTGAGGGCAGAACATCTGCTCCTGAGGTGGCTGATGAGGCCTGCTGTGAGCTGGTCCTGGCCCCCCTCCCAGTGCCCTCTCAACACCACTCACGCGGCTGCTTCCTCCTGGTCCTCAACCTCACTGCTCATGCCCTGGCCATCCTCACCTGTTGACTGTCCCCCTCGGTCCAGGTTTTCCCAAATGAATGTCCATTCATCTCTCCAGACTTCACAGCTCCCTGGCTAAGCCTTCGTTGGAGCAGCTGGCACACTGCACTGCTCTGGGCACAGATACTAAAGCTGAAGGTGCCTGCTTGTGTGCAAATCTCAGTTCTTCCATGGTGAGGAGTTGGGTGATGCGTTTCTTTGCGCTCTAGTCTCTTCATATGTAAAATTTGGATTATAATTCCTAATTCTTAAGGTTCTTATGGTCATTAAAGGTGATGTGTGTAACGGATTTAGTATGGAGTCTTGTATTTAATGAATTATGAACAAATGAGCAAAACAAAGAAAAAAATGCGACCAGACATAAATAGCTGAAAAGTCAGTGCTAGAAAATTCTACCAAGTTTTATGGATTAACAGTTATGTCTTTGTTAATCAGGAAGTTGAAGGTATGCCAATGCCTTCTCCCATGTATTCACACACACGTATGTGTGCATATTTATGGATTTTTGAGTTATGAACACAGCAAGATAACTAAATAGACAGATTCTCTAGCTATTTCATGTAATGTTAACATAGAAGGCAAACAGATATGTCTAAAAAGGTCTAGGCAGATAGGTACTGAGGTCTTAGCAGTGGCTTTCTGTGGAATGGGAATATGAGCATTTTAGTTCTGTGTGTATAAAATTTTACACTGAGGGGACAGAGAGATGGCTCAGTGGTTAAGAGGACCCAGGTTTGGTTCTTAGCTCCCACATCATGCAGTTTGCAACCATCTATAACTCAAGTTCCAGAGATTCAACACTCTCTTCTGGCCTCCACAGGCACCTTCATACATGGGGTGCACATAAACACAAGCAGGTATACAAACATACACATAAATGAAATAAAATGAATAAATAAATAAAATTTCACATTGGCCTAGAAAGATCATGTACTGTTTTCAAAAAAGAAAATAAAGTTATTTAAAATTGTGTTTCTACACCACCTACCATTGCAACATCTGGGATGCTAGTAAGAACACAAAATGTTTTAATCCAATAGCCAATGTCAATATTTTTTCAAAAGCAATCTGTGAAGGAAGGGCCTTAGAGGTGGAGAAAGAGGAAGGCACAGGTTTAAGTTACAGAGTGAATTCACAGGAAAGCAGAATCCAGAACCTAACTTTCAGGTCCCAGGTACCCATTTCTGAGGGAGGAAATGTACCAATCAATGTTCGCAGGGATGAGGGCTCATGTTCAGCTGTGCTGAGCATGGAAGGGCAGATTCAGCTCCAGTCCTGACTTGGTTTATTTAGCCCACTACAGGTAAGTGGTGAGGGACCTCCATTTGTCTCCTCATCTCATCCATGGTAATAAGAATGGCTTCCCACAGGGCTGCTCTCCACAGGAGCACAGGAAAGAGCTTCCTGAAGTGCCTAGCCTTGGGCAAACATTAGCTCTGATGACTCCATCATGCTGCTTCCTGAGAGCTGATTTAGGCATGAGCTTTGGTTCCCAACTCTGACTTCCCCGAAATAGTGACAAAAAGATTATGTAAGGCTGAAAGGTCAACTTTCTCTGTGTGTGCTTTTTCCAGAACACATGCAGGAGACAGTCTCCTCAGGGCAGTTCTGTTTAGACTGGCAGCTGACAGACCCCTTTAGCCCAGGGGTCAGTGCCGTGTGTGGTAGGCAACTGGTCAGCCTGTGTGGAAAACCCCCGAAGTGTAATGTTCTTTACATCTCAAGACAGATACAGACTCATGAAGCTGCTATCTCCATTCATGTAAGGAGCTTGAGCATATGCTTGCTTATCTGTCTTCTGTGAATAAAGGGTGCCATGGCAGCTCTCATTCCTCATCACGCTCTGCTTTTGGCTTCTTATACACCAGGCACCGGCTGCGCATTTCCTGACACCTGTTATCTATCCTACAGTTGATCAAAGAGTGGAGATAAATTTGCTTGAAATGCCAAAAGTGATATATAGAGCGGGGATTTCATTGTCTCTGTGGTAAGAGCAGACTATCAGGGATGCATAAAGAAGCTTGTCTGTGTCAGGTTGTGCAATGAATGGCACTTCTTTGCTTCCTCGTTCACTCCCCTCATTTAGTATACATGACACCAACACTCCACTTTTAAGACTCAGAGTTGCAAGAGACTGTAAGCTCCCTCCATGCCACCCTCACTTGACAGATGATGAAAAGTACGCCCCGAGAGATGTCACATCATGCCAAATACCATATGGTGAATTAACTTCAACAGAAGAAGGGAATACAAAAGCTCACAGAAGAAGTTGGGTCCATGCCCGTATCATGCCCAGGCATCTGGCCAAAGCAATTAATCCTGTGAAAAATAATTTAAAAAACCATAGTTTTATGTGGAAATAAAAAAAATTACTAATGTTTGAGCCTCTCCCCTATGCATGAGATTCTGGTTTATTGCCTTGGCATTGGCACTCTTTAAAGCAACACAGACATTGTAATGTGCAGCTGGGACAGAGCCTAGTGAAATACAGCAAACACTGAAAGTCCAAAGACACAAGTGTGAGTCTGGGCTATTTCAAGATCATCAGTTTGGCTCTAGGCAAGTTGCTTAACTGCTTTTATCCTTATTTATCCATTAATCCTTATGTCACACAAATCTGAAGTCTAGATGAGACAGTGCCCTTGAAAGTGTGTTGCAAACTCTGAAGTGTTGTATGCATGTGAGGTCAGACTCTTCAGAGACTTAGCTAGTGGAACACTTTTCTAGTCTTTGCTTTGATGGTCAGTAATTGAAGTCAACTCAATCACTATTGATTCTCTATTAGGAATGAGACATTATGTTAGATACTGGTCTTATGAACATGAAGATATTCTACAAAGATGAAGACACTGATCACATCCTTTGAAGGGGTACTGGTCATTTAAATAAGCAGGCCTTCAAAGATAGTAAGAGATACAGCTCCAAAGAACAGACGAGAACAAAGGAGGAGCTGCTGTCGGGGGCGGGGCGGGGGGGCATGAGGAAAGATGAAGGTGTGTTGAGCCTGCTCAGTCAGTTAGTTCTGGGTAGAAAGTAAGTGGAGGGTGGTTCCAAGTTGAGGGTGCTTTGGGATGGCTGGGGCACAGTAAAGCAGATTATCACTCCATATACAAGGGCAGAAACACCATTGCTTTAGGAGAAAGGAAAATGAAATTTGCTGGCAGGTTTTAAAAGCCAATAGATTTACAAAGAATAGGATGGTTGGATTAGAGACTGTTCCTCTGAACCATACGTGGGTAAATGGAATTCAAAGTCTCACTGACTGAAACCCCTTATTGACCCTAGACTCAGCAGGTTGCTTGGTGACTGAAGAAAAGCAAATAGGATGTCTCCTAATTTAAAGGAAAACTAATGAAAAACGAGGTGTGCAGGCACTTAACACGTCTGCAGAGTGTTTTAAGTGTTTCTAGAAGCCTTGACACTTACGAGCAGTAAGAATAATTAGGATATTTGGGGTTTCAGATCAGCAGAAAGCAACTCATAAGGAATGTGCGGCGAGGAGCAAGTAGCAGAAGGAACTAGAAAGGGTGAAGAGCTTCGAGCCGATTAGAATTTAAAGTACTAGGTTTCAGAATTCCAAATGATCCTTTAAGAAACTGTGGTGTCTCTTTAAGAGCCATTTGGTGCATTTCATAGCCTGATTCATGTCACCAGCTGCCTCTGATTTCAGTGAGAAATGTAGACTTTATAGGGAACTGTAAAATGGGGACAGGTTTTTAGTTTTCTAAATTGAGGTTTAACTGGCAAACTTCTGAAGGCTTAAGAAACCATGAGCTGGGCTATGGAAAGCTGGTTTCTTTTCTGGTTAGAACACAAACACACAAACACTATCTAACTCTCAAAGTGCTTAAAGAAAGAAAGCATTGCCCCTTGCTGAGTAGGAAAATGAAGAACCAGCCTTGTGGGCAAGAGGAGGAGGGTCACATTGGCCAGTAGGCAGCACCCGGCGCTGGCAGAGGAGAAATCTGAGCGAGCAGGCTTTCCACAAACTCTTGGGTTTCGAGTTGCAGGTCTCCGGAGTCCGGAGAAGGCGCTCCAGCGACAGGGCTCCCCTTTGCAGGGCCCCAGGGTGGAATGGCATCCCCCATCCCTAGCCACCCACGGGACAAGCAGGTGAGTCTGTCCAGAGCCAAGGTCAGACTGCGGGTGCTCCTCACTTGGTTTAGGAGAGGGGCCCTCTCCTGACCTGGCACTCACCTCATTTTCCTGCGGTGCGTGCTCCTGGCCGTCTGGCCTGGGTCCCCTCTGCCCGGCTTGTTTGTGAGCACGTCCCCGGTGTGGTGTCAGCGATGCCTTATCTTTGTTCTGAGGTCCCTGTGTGTCTCTGGAATTGGCTGGCATTCTCCATTCAGGTCACGCCTTCCCCTGCCTGCAACAGATCCCCTCTCCCCCTCTCCCTCCGGCTTTCCCTTTCTCCTCTCTCTCTTCTGACTGAGCTTCCACACTCGGAGGGACCTGACAGAACAGAATCTGTCCGCTTCCCCCAGGAGATCTGCAGACCAGTTCCCTCCCTGGGAGGGACTGTAGCCCTTGGAGAAAATAGCTGAGAAACTCCGAGGTGTGTGTGTGTGTGTGTGTGTGTGTGTGTGTGTGTGTGTGTGTGTATGTGTGTGTGTGTGTGAAAGAGAGAGAGACAGAGACAGAGACAGAGACAGAGACAGAGACAGACAGAGACAGAGAGACAGAGCAGCGGGACACAAAGACATAGACACACACACACACACAGACTAATTTCTCTTCCCCCTCCTTTGCCTGATGGCTATAATAGTTTGTTCTACTTTAGGACCCGAGTGAAAGAACAATTAAGCAGAAACAGCCAACTGAAAGGCAATTCTGGGAGATAAAACAAACAAAGAAAAAAACCAAGCTGTAAATCCTAGGTCTTTCTGAGAACAGAACAGCTGGCCTGGCTGTGAGGGCCACCAGTTTCTGTAGTTGGCTTACTCTTCTCCACTTGAAAGAAAGACTGTGGTGATGTTTACCAACTGCAAGTATGCAGAAGCCTGATCCATTGGGGAAAGGACCAGCACAGCCAGCCAGCCAGGTGACCTATGGTTTTGGAAAGACTTGAGCGTCTTTGGTGTCAATGCCTATGGTCTGTGAAGAGATGGAACAGACGGATCTAAGCTGAGCTGAGAATGAGAGACGGGCCCTCCTCCTAATAATCAACGCTGAACAGGGAGAGACCCTCTCCACACTGTAACCCTCTCCACACTATAACCCCCTCCACACTGTAACCCCCTCCACACTATAACCCCCTCCACACTATAACCCCCTCCACACTGTAACCCCCTCCACACTGTAACCCCCTCCACACTGTAACCCTCTCCACACTATAACCCCTCCACAATGTAACCCTCTCCACACTATAACCCTCTCCACACTGTAACCCTCTCCACACTGTAACCCCCTCCACACTGTAACCCTCTCCACACTGTAACCTCTCCACACTGTAACCCTCTCCACACTATAACCCCTCCACACTGTAACCCTCTCCACACTATAACCCCCTCCACACTATAACCCCCTCCACACTGTAACCCCCTCCACACTGTAACCCCCTCCACACTGTAACCCTCTCCACCTATAGCCCCCTCCACACTGTAACCCTCTCCACACTATAGCCCCCCCACACTATAACCTCAATACAATATAACCCCCCTCCTCCACACTGTAACCCTTTCTATACTAACTTCCTTTACGCTATAAACCTCTTCACAATATAACCCTCTACACACTATAACCCCTCTACTTATAAACCTTTCCACAATGTAACTACGTCCACAGTAATACTCCCCTTCCACAACAATGACAGCCAACACTGAATAGAGCCTGTACCAATAGGTTGTACTGACCGTCGTTTCTGTTTTGGACAGTGTCAGACATAACTGTTATCTAAATTACTTTACAAACTTTTGAGGGTTTTACTCTTATGCTTCTTTTATGAGTGAGAAAATTAAGGCGTGGTGATTATATAACTTACCAAGCTCACCCAGCTGTTCATTTTGTACTTCAGACTGGTACTACTGCTGAAGCCAACCACTACGCAGAACAGGCACTGTGCTAAGCACGTCACACATTCATTCTCGTTAATTGTTTTTATGACTGTATGGGCGAATAGCAACATTATTTCTACTGTCCAGGTGAAGAAACCAGGCAGGGAAGTTGCATAATTTAGCCAGAGTCACATAGCTAGAACGTGAGGAAGAATTTGATCTCATGCATTATATGATGCCGACTCTCAGTAATGTACCAAAATGCATTTAGTGTTTCAAGCACACATACTTGAAACTCAGTTTGGATCATTTTGAAAGAAGCTTTAGACACAGAGACAGAACTTAGCGGTAATCTTTATTTTCTACCCAAGCTGGCTGTGCACTTTAGACATGATACTTAACATTTCTGATCTTGTCTTCTTAGTTGCAAAATGAAGGTGGCTCTGGGGCATGAGATTGGGACCGTGGAAGTGCTTTACAGCTGTACAGAGGGCTGCCTGCTGCTTGAACCAAGGTGACAGAAACTCTCCACAGTTAGATAGTAAGTACTCTGTGGCCTTCGGGAGTGAAGACTCCACTTCTGCTGTATAGTTTGTCTCATTTTCCTCCAGTTCCTCTCGGTTAATTCTTTCCAATGTCAACCTTTTGAAGAAGGTACTACTAGTCAACTGTGGTCAATAATGCAGGTGCAAGTCTATGGGATGAGGGAACAGGTTTGGACCCCGGCATTGTTTTAGAGAAATGTTGCTCTGTTTCAGTCAGGGTAAGAGGAAAAGCCTGTAAAATTCCCATTAAGCAGACTCTTGGGCCCTTCAGACATCAAATAACTCTCACAAACAACATTTTAATGATTTAAGTGTAAATGAATCAGAAACACATGGACTGCATTTCTTTTGGAATACACAAGGGTTTGCAAACCAAAGGGGAAAGAACTTGGCAAAATGTACACAGTGGTGTGTGGTGGGCCCAGCCCAGGAAAGCAGCCCCGCAATTCCCACTGCAGCTGAGCATGGCCTCCCTGGATTTAGCATACACGTTAGCAAAAGTGTGTGCTCTGGTTCTGGGCGCACAGGTAAGGACTTGGGAGAGAAAGCCATCAGCTGCACACTCACGAAGTGTCACAGAGCAAGTAGGCCTCCTGGAATATTTTCCTGGACTTGGTTTTCTAAGGCTGCCGGTGTTCAATGGGAGACACTGGGAAGATATTCTGAACCAAAGTTCTGCCAGTGTGCTGCGGAGCTGATATGTGGGCCTTCTTGGGAGTCTGCCACGGCTCAGATGTGAGTGAGTACAGTCATGAGGTGCAGTGGAGACTCGGGGTGTGACTCAGGGAAGCTCTCCACTGGCTTGGACAGCATTTCCAGCATTGCCCTGTGCTCTTGATGAAGACTGAGGTATTCTTGACAGATGCTGGGGGTGGGAGGATGCCTGAGACTTTGGTCTGGGATGCTACACTCGGCTCATGGTCTGTAGGCCCAATTGCTCTGGCTTCAGGCAAGTCACTCACCCACTTTCTGAGAGGGTGGCATCACTTCATCCAAGTGTGAAATCAAGGGACTATGTCCTTTGAGCTCACAGAGCATGGGTGGGTGTGAAGACAGGAAGGACGGACTGGTGATGGACTGCTAGAGCTGTTCAGAGGAGCTCACACTGCTGACACTTGCTTCCTCTGTGGTTCTAGCAGTCACTCACAACTCTATCATGGATATAAGAAAATAATGTTTGAAAAGATTCAATTGGTGTCCTTAAAAGTTTAACAAGATGGCTTAAAATGCACACAGGGAACCAAGAGCTCCTCGTTCAGAGTCATGAAAGTATGGAATGACAGGGGTGGGCTCAGGGCTGCCACATGAGTCAGCAAGCATGCTCGGAAATCCAACTTCCAAGGGAGTCCATGCACCGCATTCCTACCCCTGGAAAACGGGTTTACATAGTCTACTAAAGTATTTATTTTGTAACTTCTGAGTGAAAGTTCTGGAACTCCATGAATGTGTTGGAAAATGTAAAGAATCTGATCAATGGTGTGTGTGTGTGTGTGTGTGTGTGTGTGTGTGTGTGTGTGTGAAGCCTGAAATCCAGGCTTCCAATTGAATATCTAAGAAACTAATAAAGAACTTCAGAGTGGAGCCTAGAATTAAACTTTGGAGGCAGATGTGGTGGGGCATACCTATAATCCCAGTACTCAGGAAAGAGGTAGGAAGGGGGCAAATTCAACGATACTCTAGGCTACATCATGACTACCTGCCTCCAGAAACAAAAATTAGGGACTGGAGAGATAGTTTAGCAGTTAAGAACACTAGCTGCTCTGGTAGAGGACACAAGTTCAGTTCCCAGCACCACACACATAGTGGCTAACAACTGTCTATAATTCCAGTTCCAGGGGATCTGATGCCCTCATCTTCTGATCTCCAAGGACATTTGCATGACACGGGTGCAATTGCATACATGTGGGTAATACACTCATACACAAAAAAATAAATTAAAAAGGTCAGGTTGTTCTGCACATTGACCACCAGTATGCTAAAAATCATGACTTCTGACCTTCCATGTGATCACAAAAATGTGGGAAAATTTTTTAAAGTCCTGAGTTTCTTACCAGGAGATTCATGTTCAATTCATCAAAGTATGGTCAGTCCTTGAACCTGAAATTTTAAAATCTCCTTGACATGAATGTGCCATTTTGGAGACAGATAATATCTTAGAATTGCAGCTTAGAACTGATGTTGTCTTAGAGTCAGTGAGATTCTTAGTACACTGCAGTATTATTATTGCAGAGACTATTCACATCCTTTGTGAAGCCAGCACAGAGAAATGCAGTGTGTCTGTGAGCAGATGACTGATCTGCTCAATCCTTCCTGACTCAAATCCAGGGCTCCTTCTCATTAGAACACTAAAAATATTTTATTGAATTTGCAAATTTTATACAATATATTTTGATCATATTTAGACATCTTCCCATATCTGCCTCCTTGTTATTGCCCCCCGGCATCTGATTTTATGTACTTTGTCATATATATTAAGGTCTATTGAGTTAAATTTGTGTGCCCCAATACCCTATAGTGTGCATCCATCTACTGGTGCCTGGTAATCCAGCATCACACCCTTGAAGAATGCCAACTCTTCCTCTCCCAGCAGTGATCAGTTGCCAATAGTGTCGCAGCTAAGGTTGGGGCTTCTTACCCAATTCCCCACTTCTATGGTGGGATTTCGTCTAGCTTGAGCTTGCATAGGTCTTGTGCATGCTGTCACTATTGTGAGTTCATATGAGTAAGTGGCCAGCTGTCTGGAGAATTCTGTTTCCTTGTGGTCCTCCACCACCTCTGACTCCTGTGATCGTTCTCCTTCCTCTTTCACAATGATCCCTGAGCTGTGGGTAGAAGAGGTTTGATATCGATGTCCTATTCAGGGGTAAGCACTCTGTTGTCTCCTGTTCTCTTCACTTTGGCTAGCTCTGGCTTTCTGGCCACATTTGCTGCATGGGGAAGTTTCATGGTGAGAACGAAGAGAAACATTAATATTCTTTCTTCCTCCTGTTCCATTATGTTCCCTGAGCCAGGTGTGGTGGCGTATATCTTTAATCCCAGCACTTTGGAGGCAGAGGCAGGAAGATCTCTATGAGATCAAGGCCAGACTGGTCTACATAGTGAATTCCAGATGGACTGGGACTAGGGAGACCCTGTTAAAAAATAAACCACTATGATACCTGAGTCTTAGATGTATTTGTATTGTAGATGTGTTACTTAGAGCTAGGCATCTCACAAACACTTATGCTCTGAGTTTGACAAGTTGTGGAACTTTGTAATAGTCTCCATCTGTTGCAAAGAGAAACTTCTTTGATCATCTGTAAATATAAGGATTCATATTTAGAATATAGAAAGAAATTACTTTGGTCTAAGGATGTGACAAAAGTGGGTTTTCCTCTAGGGCTTATGCCATCTATAACCTTATTTATCTTTTGTTTATAGTAATGCACACAAGTTCCCTCTCATTGAGCAGGTCTTAAATTAGATAGCTGTTGATTATCCCCAAGATAAAAGTTCCACTGCACACCAAAAGAGATTATTTGCTGGGCCAGTCATTGTTGTGGTTCATAGACTTTACAGCTGGGTGGGATTGTTGATTGATTTTCTCCCTTGGTCATGATTGCTCCAAGTCCTGTGTCCGAAGTATATCTCGTCTCCAGCAATAGAGTCTTACCTTCAAGTTCTTGGAGGTAGTCAAGGGCTGTGATAATAGCCTGTATGATCTGGGGAGTCTATTGGACTACCCTGACCAATAACTTGAAGGGAGTGTGCCAGATAGCTTCAGTTGTCAACTTGACACATCTGGGTAGAGGCAACCTCAGTTGAGGAATTTCTTCCATTGGATTGGCCTGTTGCCATATCTGTGGGGGCATCTTCTTGATTGTTGGGTGATGTGTCCAGGTCACTGTGGGTGGTGCCACCCTTGGGCAGACGGTCCTGGGTCGTATAAGGAAAGCAGGCTGAGCATGGGCCAGAGGATTAAGCCAGTAAGCAGCATTCCTTCATGGCCTGTGCTTTAGCTTCTGCCTCCAGATTTCTGTCCTGAGTTCCCTCAGTGATGAATTATGATCTGGGAGATGCAAGATAAAATAAACCTTTCCCTCCCAAACTGGTTTTTATCACAGCAATAAAAATGAACTAGAGGTTCATTTCAACCTCTAAGGAGGTTTCTCCTGCTTGGCACTGTGTTTTTTGCTACATACCCTTTAGCTATATACATGCACCTTTGTCTTATACAATACTACTTTTTAAAAATATTTTGTTTTTATTATTTTATGTATATGAGTGTATTGCCTGCATGTATGTGAGTGCACCCATGTTGTGCAATGCTGTCGAGGTCAGCAGAGAGCTTTGGATTCCCCTGGAACTGGAGTTAAGGATGGTTCGTAGCCACCATGTGGGTTCTGGTGGGAATTGAACCCAGGTCCTCTGCAAGAGCAGTCAGTGCTCTTAACCACTGAGCCATCTCTCCAGCCCCCTTCCTTTTTTTTTTTTTTTTTTTTTTTTTTGAGACAAGTCTCTGTAGCTCTAGCTGGCCTGGAACTTCCTATATAGACCATACTGACCTCCATCTCACAGATTCCAGAGATCCACCTGCCTCTGCCTCCTAAGTGCTGGGATTAAAGGTGTGTGCCACCATGCCAGGCCTCATTTGTAGATCTTTGACACTTATTGCGGAATTTGAATCTTAATGAGACATGTCATTATATGACTAAAAGATTTTCTAGAAAAGAGGAAAAACAGCTTATATGTAAAAATAAACCACGTCAAAATTCAGATGGTTATAGCTGTTTGATTTTATTTTTTGGTCTCTGTTCTATTGAACTAAGCATTTGATTCTGGGCTAATACCATGATGTTTTGGTTACCATGGCTTTGTAGGATAACCTGAAATCAGGTATAGTGATTTTTGCATCATTTTCCTTTTTTCTCAGTATTGCTGTGGCTATCAAGGGCCTTTTGTGGTTTTGTTTGAATTTTAGAATGTTTCTCTATTTATGTGAAGAATGTCCTTGGAA